AGCATCTCTCTCCCGTCTGGGAGCCTGGCAGGATCGCGCCGCTGCAACGACGGGCCCCGCTCATCACCAGAACGGACAAGCAATGTCTGGTCGATCCGATGCGCGCCTGCGTGCGCAACCTCTCGCTGCCACTAGTCGTTCGTATCCCCGCCTCCCAAGGCGAGCAAACAAAGATGTGTTGGTCGCGCTGTCCGCGCCGTGACCCAACATCGATGCGTTCTTGGTTTGTGTCACGTCGCGCGGCAGCAACTCGCACCGTTCGAAGGGATGGGACAAGGTGCATCCCGAGTCTCTCAGGGCCAGTCATCGTTGACAACAGTGTTTCTCACGTGCGATTTGGGTGTCGGCAACACGTACATCAGCCTAAACCACAACGAAGTGGATGCGGGACGAGTTGCCGCGGGATTGGGCGTTATCGGGTCTGTCTCGAGACTAGCCCACCGCCCTGGATCTGACACTCCTCCCCCACTGTTTCGATCGTCTGATCTGGAGCAGTCATAGCTTCCCAGTGGTCGGCGATTGCATAGATTAACTGCATGGAACCCCATGCTTCTGCGGATACAGAAATACCTCGGCCTCGCTTGTCAAGACCGCTGCTTCTCATTTATTCTAGCAGGAAGTAACTAGCATCAACTAACAACGATTTCGCATGAGACGGCGTCTTAGACCGAGCACGCACTGCGTCTCCAACGTTGTGGACTCCAGCCAGCTTGCCTCGGGGGCTATAAATATGCGAAGGCGATGAAACGGAACGGTGTGCTCTTGGCTGGCCGTTGTTACCACGAACCCTAGCGCGTTTCTCGCCGATGAACGACGGTGCAGCATCGCATGTGGAGTGTGGAGCGCTCTTGTGAATTCGCGTTCCGATGTGGAAACGGCAGATTACTGGGGTCATTCCGGCTTACCGAACGCAGTGCAACGTCCAGGGCGGGCCAGACAGCTTCGCTGCACGGGGATTTTGGAATTTTATACCGCCAACTTGCACAACATGGGAGAGACGGAGAGGACTGCCCATTCAACGTCTGCTCCGTTGCTGTTTCCTGTCACATCGGTGTGGGATATGGACACGACCCTATCATCTTGCACGCTGGTGCTCAGACGACAGGTCTTCGATGCGACGACAAACGGGGCAAGGCAGTCAGGACGACGTCGCGATGCAGCCGCCTCCGCAATGTCTGATATCTGCGTATCCCATTGGTCATTGGTCCCGGCCTGGAGGAAAGTGACGTCCGACTGGGAATCGCACCACGGTGGATGCCACTGGTGACTGGCCAGAAGAGCCATCGACGCTGCGTTGATGCCTCGCGATACAGGGCACAAGAAGACATGTGCACAGCAATGCCCATTGCCCTTCCCCTTCCCCTTTCCCTTCCACCTAATCGGCCTTGGCGTTGAACGCTGCCCTCGATTCCCGAGCCAGGCGTCCCAGATCCCGCAGCTCGTCAGACGCGACTAATATGGTTGGTGGACGCGAGTGGCCCAGTAGTGGTCGCACACAGACCGGCATGTTGGCCCCCTGAGCTGGGGCAGTGGCTTCTCCTTTGGCAAGCCTCAGAGTTTGACAGAGCCAAAACAGACCGAAAGGGTGCTGACTATTGGCCCATTGTTGTGGCATCACGCTCGGAATGAGGACGGCGAGAAGGCGGGCATTCATTCCTCCCTGCCTCCCGGGGGGCAATATCATGTCCGGCGCGGAGTGGCACCAAAAAGCTGAGAGGCCACGCCGGTTTCAATCTGCGTCAGCCTTACCTTGGAACGGGCATTGGCTTTTCTGCTTCCTTTCGCTAGCAGTGACGCCTTCTCCTTCAGCGGGTGGGCGCACTGACACCGGACTCGACAGCCACACCTCATGCACGACAAATCACACTCCTTCAGATCATCAGATCAAATCGATCGTCGCCAGTGGAAGTCGTCCACTCGTTTCATTGACCCATCCATCTCGGCTTTCGTTCGCTTCGTTCGCCCCCAATGAGCTGCTCCCGAAAGCAGGATTATTTGCCTGCTGACTGCATCCTTTACACAGTGCGCAGTGCTCGATGCTCTCTGTCTCTCCTTGCAGTGCTTTGCAGTAGGGGGAGGGGGGGAGGGTCCGTGATGGATGGGATGTGTTTTTACTTTTTCAGCTCAAGTAGCTAACGGGCGATGCAACCCTCAGATTGGGGAGCCAGTCCCAATTCGACCTGTCACGTCAAGACATGCAGAGTGATGAGACATTTTCCCGTTGATATTTGCCATGCTACCACACCCATTGGATTTTTCAGGGAGCATTCTAACGAGGCTTCTGGGCATGTTCTCCCGTGGTGGCACGGGGAGAACCAACCAGCTTCTGGGGCAGAGTGGTTTTCGCCGTGCGTTTTCCTGTCTTGGAAGTCCTGGAGGGGAGGGGAGGGTGGTAGCGAGGGAACAAAGTTCCCAACGCGGAGGAAGAAGTCTCCTTTCGGACTCTCTGTCAAGCCTGAGGCACTGAGAAGGGGAAATCCAGATGTGTCTGTCCGATGGTTCGGGGACGAGGAACAACATGTCGAGTCTTGCGCGGTTGATCAAGCTCACCAGTCGTTTTGGCACTACCAAGCACTGACAACCTGGAACAGACTGCTTGCATGGATCATCCCCTTTTTCTTTTTCGTCAGATCTCAGTAGCGGGAGAGCCCACTGGAACTAAAGTTTACCGAGGGCGGGAGGAGCCTCTCCGCTGCTGCCCGCCGTCACAACAGCGCTGCTTGTCTCGGTGACTGTGCTCGCTCAAAATGACAGGCACCTCAGTCAGTCGGGGCTCAGCCTGGAGGATCATTCATTTTCATCGCCCACATCCCGAGCGCAACGCACGTTCGCACGCACAGTCCGAGTGTTTGCAGAACGAAAGAAGGCAGACAGACGGGCCCGGAGAGTTTTCTTTTTTTCCTTTTCGTTGCGGGTGCGGTGCCGTGCGGTGCTGACTCCGTGCGTCCGATCGTTCTGGTCGGGTCGGGTCAGGGAAGACTGACTAACCGAAAGGGGCAAAAGTCTTTGAGACATGGCGAGGCTTTGGGGCTGTTCCCGCGTATGGCGGCGGCGTGGTCATTGCTTTTTTTTTTCTGGTAGCGCGTGTCGGTGGCTTCGGCCCCGAGGTGGCGTCCGTTCGTTCGTTGGCATCTGAGCGTTTATGGTTTGGTTTGGTGGCTTGATGGATGGATTGTGACATGTCATGCCGGCCGGCCGGCCGGCTGGCTGGACTGGACTGGACAGTGAGAGGGGGGAGGACAAAAAAGAAAGGGTTTGAGACACTGGAAGGAAACTGGGGTGGAAGGGCAATCGGACCATCGTCCATGGCGGCGAAGGGTGTGCAGCATCGAGGTGTCGGCTACCAGGGTGTTTTGCAGCGGAACGGGGGACGCGGACTGGCTGGTTTGGAGGGGAGCTGCAGGTGAACGCAGTAACAACAAGTAGGTGTGGTGCAGACGCTGGGTGACGAGGAGGAAGTGGCTGGCCTGGCCTGGGCTGACCTGCTGGTTGAGTTGAGTTACGAGTTGAGGGGCAGGCAGGCAGGACAGCAGGCAGGACAGCAACGCTCACGCACAGCACACCACAGCAAGGAGCGGGCTTGCGGGGATACACCTTGGGTGCTTGGGTGGTGTACTGTGTAAGATGGGGGTCAGATACTTGGGATACTTGATCAAGGTGGGTTGGTAACTGGATGCGGTTAGGGCGAGATTTCAACGAGGGGCGAGGGCTTGCAGCATGCAGCGGGACAGGGGTTTGGTGAGTTGAGTTGTCAATCGGTGGTTGAGTTGAGAGCAATGCCTCCTCGTGTTCGAGTCATTGACCTGGAGCTGTGGCCGGTTCTTGGAGGTGTGGCGTGGGGAGTATCGTGTTGGTGTCTCTGTCGGTGTCGGCTCGCAGTATCACGAGGCAAGGGAAGGCAGGGCGTTGTGAGGAGTTGGTAGGTAAGTTCGGGAGAAGCTACGCAGAGCGAAGAGGAGCAGCGTGGGGGAGCAAATCACGGGACGGAAAAAGAAAACGAAGTGGCACGCACATAAGCACAAGCTAACAGCTGACTTCTTGCCACGCAGTACGCAGTAGCTGTGCAGATAAAGCTAGAGTAGTGAGTGAAACGCTACGCTACTGCGTTGTGAATGGAGCTAGTTGCCTGCTCAAGAGGGAGTGGACGGAGTGATGAGAGCGGGGGAGGCGATCGGGATCGGAACTAGTAGTTCTTGGGCGTTGGTGTTGGCGTTAGTTTGGCTCCTTCTCGGGGACTCGGGACGGTCTGGGGGGCTAGAGGCCTGGAGGTCTGGATGTGAGTTGAGGAGGGGAGGGTGTTGCTGAGAGGGGTGTGATGATGTGAGGACTTGTTGGGGGTCTGGCAGATGTGTTCTTGAACTGTGTTGAGGCAGGGAGAAGGAAGCTGGAATGGGCAAGCAGGTGAGTAACTCAGTGTCCAAGGTACTGAGCACAGTAACACTCCGAGGAGGTTGTTTTTTCTTTCTACAGCCACTCCACTCGATATCAAGATGGAGGTGGGTGTGCCACCGCCGCAGGTTCGCACATCTGTCTCAGTTTGCCTGCCTCCTTTGGGAGCGTGGCTGAGATGGGTGCTTCTGGCCTGAGATCTGGCCGCGTCAGTTGGTCACATCCCCAGTCAGCATCTCGAGTCAAGATCTCAGACATTTTTTATTTTTTGGGGGTTTTTTGTTTTTGGTCTGTCTGTTGGGTTTGAGGCGCATTAGTGCGCGCGTAATGCACCGCATCCGTAGGTTTGTTTCGTTTCGTTTTGTTGGCCAGCTGGTTGGCCGCGGCTTTGCATGCAGGTTGGTAAGGTAGGTCTGTTGTTGTCACCCCTGAATCGTCGCCCCCTTTTCAGACTAAGTCTAAACAGAGAGAAATCACATACGACCATACCCATTGGAAAACTCGGGATCCCGTCCGCTCTCCCATCGATAAACTAGTGAGTACCCAACTAGTAGTTGGGTCGCTGACGACCAGCGAATCCCTGGTGTTGTATGTTATCCACTTGTTGGCAAGGTTGTATAGCGTAGCGGTTATCACCCCAGTTTCTGATGTGTCGGTATTCTGGTAACCCCGGTTCGATTCCGGGTACGACCTCTTTTTGGCGGAGATGGAGAGGTTGTCCTTTTTGCGGGTGGTTTGGGTGGTGACGATGTTTGTGTTGGGAGGTTGGTGGTGGAGGTAGGTATGTAGGTGAGTAGGGAAGGTTTTGCAGATGGACGAGGGCCATCGACAAGTCAGTACCTACATACGTAGGTAAGGGGGTTGCTACTCAACGACATTTGCTCCATAACCTGAACTGATTGCGTATTCTCTCCTGCTCAGACCCTTCCTCTCATTGCCTCACAGATGGCGTTGGGAGAGATTGGTAGATCGGCAACGCGAGACTTACTCACCTAAGGTAAGTGATTGGCATTCGGTCGTGACACGACCACGCGGTGGAAGGTATCTCTTCAACGGACAGACCTTTATGACATCCCAGTAAGGCCTTGTGGAATATGGTCAAGGCATTTATCAATGCAGTAAATGCCTTAAAGAATGCATGCGAGGTCCTCTGTGAAAGAAACCAGGCCTTTTTACATGGCTAGGAGCCGTTGGCGGGATGTCACTGAGGCATGTCTGTTGAAGAGATACCTTCCACCGCGTGACGACCAACATGATGACTACCTACCTGCCGGCAGATGCTCCAACGGAATACTAACTGAATGACTCCCAACTGAACCTGGCCGAATCCCGCAATGCCAACTGAACACAAGGATTGGCTCTTGTAGGTGGCCCAAAAGACTAGAAGCCGACTTACCTCTGTATGTATGCCATCACCCTATTTGAACTACTCGGCACAAACACCACATACAACGGCGTTTCATCACCTCTCCATGCATTCCAACAGCGGCAGAGTCAGGGGGACAACCTCTCTTTCCACTAGATTGACCATCTTCCGGAGACCTCTTTCTATTTGCTCACATAGGCAAGTATGTAAGTACCTAAGTAAGGACCCCCTTAGCCACGTCGACAACATCAACAACTTCAAATCACAATTATACCTGCAAGGTCTTCTGCCGGACAAACTCTCGCTGCGTTATTAAGCGTATGCTACTCAACAAAGGGGTAGGTGAAATGACACCTCGACAACTCGTCACACCTAATAGTTTAGATAGCCCCATGGTCAAGTCTCACGACAACAAGACCCCGTGTACTTCTTCTTGATGCCTCCCATCACCTCTCGTAGCTCCGGTACAAAAACTACCAGAGACGTCGTCATGCCATAAATATCCCACAACGCTGCCACGACAGCGTCTTCGACATAAGGATTGATATTGTGCCTTGGATCCTATCATGCCTCAAAACTTCGCCTGGATCATCCAGGTCTTATGGTGCAACTCAATACCACCTTCGGTTTGCAGCTTCAGCTTCATCAACAACACCTTACGTCCCAAGTGCCGCTGCAACTTATACACGCACCGTAAATACCCAGCCCCAATCAGCACCGACTCGAAACAATCACATCCACTCATTCCACCGCGGTCTTGAATCAAGCAACTAACTCACCTTCACGACCGGACCACTAGCTCCAGCTCCACCACCAAGTAATACCCCAGGAGTCCTCATTCCCTCACCGACCTCGAGCAACCAGGACCACTTCCTCACCCCCTATCTACCCTACCTCAGACACTCCAGGTAACAACATCTCACATACCTCCCCACCCTCATAATACCCGACCGAGCAAGTCCTGATCTGATGGATGCATCATGTATACCTTCTGCATACCCTCATAATACTTTAGTGATACCCCGACAATACCTCAGACACTGACACTGACGCTGACGCTGACCACATCCACCCTCCACCCCTTCCAAACCATCCAAACAACAACATACATCACACACACGCACGCACGCTTAACCGAACATGCCACGCCCAATACCCAACCAAAGCACCAACCTATCCCAACCACGCCACCACGCCCACAGCCAGTCAAATCACTACCCCCTAAATATCTCCCCCACCCCATTCCACCCCCCTCTCCCCCTCTCCTCCCAATACCCCTCCTTCCCGCCCTTCAACCTCCAAACCTCCTCACCCGCGTCCCCGCTATCGATCTCGACAAACCACCGTGGCCTATACTCCTCCCCGCTGTCCTCGAGCACCCTCCTCCTCTCCCTCTGCGCCTCCTCCAGCCGGACCTTCCACTCCTCCGCCACGTCCAGCTCCCCTTGCTCCGCGAGTCTCTGGTCGGGACGTAACCTCGTATCCGTCGGGGGTAGTTTGCCCTTCTCTAGATGAGTGATCTCGTTAAGCCCCGCCGCGAAGGTGGTCATCCCGTACGTCGTGCTGGCATTATCAACGAGACTTCCGACCTTCCAAATTTCCTTGCCGCCCGGCATGGACTTGAGGCCAGCGGTCCAGGTACCCGTGAGGGAGGCACCAGCGTGGGAGCCGTCGGAGTTGTAGAGTTCCACCTGGACGTCCTCGCCGCGTCCGCCGAAGACGCCCTTGGAGCGGAACTCGATGGTGGCCTTTGCGCCGGAGGAGTCGTTGGCGACGTGCATGGTGCCGACGGGCTCGACGTACTTCTCGCCCATGACGACGTTGCGCAGGAAGACGGTGGCGATGGTCCAGGAGTAGAGCTCGGCGGAGCCGTCGGGGAGGTGCAGGCTGACGCGGACGCGGCCTTCGGTGGTGATTTCGGCGGATTTACCCCAGAATTTTTGGGATGGGGCGGGGGATTGGGAGAAGGACCATTGGGCGCTGTCGGCTTGCATGGCGAGGCGGACGGGACGGTGCGAGACCTTCTCGACGAGGAGGCGGAAGCCGCCGGGGATTTCGGCCTCGGAGCGGACGAGCTCAAAGGTTTCGCCAAGGAGCGGGTTGAACGGTTTGCGAATGGCGCGCTCTTTGGCGCGGCCGCCGCTGAACTGGGAGATGGCAAAGGCGGTGACGTAGAGAAGGCGGTCCTTGGCTGTGCTCTGCTGAGCTGCTTTGTCGAGGAGCTGGGCGTACTCGAGCTGTTCGGCCACGCGCTGGAGGAGGGACGTCGGTTCGTTGGCGGAGACCGGCATGCTGATGGTGCTCAGGTCCTTGCCGACATTTTTGCGGACAAACGCAATAAGACTTGGGGGCGCAACCTTGGCTGCGGGTATGGTCTTGCGCCGCACGACCTTGTCGGCGATGGGAAGGGGGGTTAAGGACTTTGGTTTGACGGGAAAGAGGCTGGCGGCCCCCTTAGCGGTGGAATACTCGTCTTCATCCTCTATTGAGGACACAGATGACGTATCGTTGATATCTTCTTCGGCCTCAGAACTCTCTTCCTCGCTTCGGTGGTCGATGATCATGAGTTGGTTCTTAGACGCTGTGACTTCGCCAGCCTCGGCGTCGAAGAATTCATCGGTTGTGGAAGTGGACTCGAAGCTGCGCCTCGACGCCGAGGGGCCTGCGACGGGCATTCTCCTTCGCTTGCTGGCGGACAAGAGATTTGAAAACTCCATAACCACCGAATCCAAGTCGTTCAGCAATGCCGTGCAGTGTTCGTACGTATTCCGCTCCCCCTGAAGCTGCCCGTAACCCTTCTTTGCGCCGTTTTGTGGTAGCACCAGTGTGGCTGATGACGGGGTCGGAACGGCCAAACTGGAGCCAACGGCGCTTTGGAGCGCTTGCGGTGTAAGCGGAGAGGCAGAAGAACTTGCCTTGCGCTTCCAGAAAGGCCTCTTTTCAGCCTGTTGTTGTTGCGAGAAGTAGCCGTCTGAATCTTCCGGGACCGTGGGTGTACCTGGCGAGAGCAGCGACCCGTGGCTGCTGTTCGCGTGCTTCTGGACGGCCATGTCCTTGACAAGTCGTCTCAAAGCGTCCCTGGTTCCCACAACCCGGCTGACGAGCGTCTCTACCTGATTCCACTCCCGGTCCTCCTCCAATGGGTTGGCCTTGACCGCCGCCGCCACGCCCGGCAGTGCGCGTACCGCCTCCGGGATGACATCGCTCACCAGCGCCTCCAAGCCCCGCGCGATCCGGCTGGCCCGCTCCAGGGCACGCGCCCAGTCGCTAAACTCCTTGGGGTTGGACGCCCGCAGGTGCCACACCTCAGCGCCCGAGTCGATGGTGATCTCCCGACGCCTCTCGTCGGCCGCGATGGCGGCCAGGCTCAGAGGGATAGCCCCGCGCAGGGCTGACGAGTTGCGGTTGTGATAATATGACAACGTGCACGTCGTGTAGTCGAGAGAGAAGAAGCGCCTCGCGTAGCCTTGGCCCTTCTTGCGCCGCCGCTTGTGGAGGGTTCCCATGTGGTGCGAGTTGGAGCCCGCGCCCTCGCTCTTCCCGCTGATGGACAGACCGCGGCCGCCGCCGGCGTTATGGCTGTGCAGGCTGTCGACCGACTCGGAGGCGGTGGCGCCCAGGCGGGGGCTGCTGTGCTTTCCCAGGCTGGTCCTGCTGGAGCTGGCGATGGGGCCGGCCTGCATGTTCGGCAGGTGGCGTGCGGTTTGCGGCGGCGCGCCCGTCGGGTAGGTCAGGAGGACGAAGGTGGCCGTCTTGGAGGTCTGCTTGGAGAAGGTGTTGTCGAACACCAGGCCGAACATACCGCCGCTGGTGACATCGTACGTTCCCACCGAGACCTTGTCGGCCTCACACTTGCCGTGCCATTTGATGGGGATGAAGCCCTTCTTCGCGAGCTGGTCCTGCGCCGTGCTGGCGTCCTTCCTGGCGAAGAGGCCTGCCTTCGGGTCGGCGGAGCCTTCGGTCTGCTGGTCGGATGTCGTCGTCGCTGTTTCGCCCGTCTGCGACGCAAAGCTGGTGGCGCCGGTGCCGGGGTGCTTGACAATGGCAAAGTTTATCGACTTCTTGTGCGGCTGGACGCTCCACGAGATCGTATGGCCTTCATCTACTTTGACCCATCGAACAATGTACGACTGTTGCCATTGAGCACTTGTTAGCATGGGAATGGGCGAGCAGCAGGAGTCGGGCGCGCTCGGGGTGGGCGGGCGCATTGCAGTGCATACATACCTTGCTGTGGATCTCGAGCTGCTCGATGCCCGCCATTTTTTGAGTTGTGACTGCAAGTCCCTAACAGTGGATGGATGCGCCGGATGGCTCAATCCGCGTCGCG